GTATAAGTATATGATATTTGTGCACATGTGGGATTTTTATTTTTTTTTTGAAAATTCATAATTATTTTGGTAAAATTTTTTAATTCAAACTAAAATAGAAGATAATAGGGGTTGAAAAAAAAAAAAGTTAAAAGTCGTAAAAGTCGTAAAATACTTTTTATGTTAACCCAGTCAGAATTAGCGAAAATAAAATTGTTATATTTTTGACTTGAATTTCCGATAGTACCGCTAATAAATTCTTATACTCAATTGATATATGCTGGCAAAAACATGCTCCTCTTTTAAACACACTTTTTTTCATACCTTGAAAGAAGTTTATTTACTGCCAACACAATACTAAATTAGACCAACATTATTAGAATCATGGCATAGTTCTTATATCAAAATTATATAAATCAGATTATTGTATTAATATTCGAATATAATTTGTAATATATTTGGTCCGCTGTTATATAATTACTGGCTATTTAAATTATAAAAGTTCTAATTGCCAAACATATTTGTGAAATTTATAACAAATGTATATAAGATTTCGCTAAGGAATTATAGAAATTCTTCACTAGAAATTAATAGGTTCAAAATCTATATGACAAATACTCGAACACACTTGAACTGGCGAATTTGCTAGCATTTTGTATTTTAATATTATGTATAACTAATTTATTCGCTGAATTATTCGCTGAAAATACATGTTTTAAAGTAAAGTGTCATAATGTAATTTTTTACACTTTTGACAAATTTCCGTATACTTGTCGCATAGTAATTTTCATCCCGCAGAGTTTTTTTTGTTAAATACGCTAAAATTCATAGTAGTATGTGTGTACAATGTTATGAGAAGCTTTGAGACTAACAAGATAATAGAATATTTTGCATTTATTATTTTATTATTATTGTATTCACAAATTTAGGAAAAAAATATTCTTAAATTTTCATATTAAATACGTTATCATTTTTATCACACCAGAAATAATTTAACAAACAACTCAGTAATTCAAAGAAACTCATGAGTTCACAAGAAAGTCCCTAGATAAAGATATCTCCTTCTTAATCATATATTTCTATATATTTATACATATTGAATGTATTTGCCTTAATTTTTTTCAATAATAATTAAATTTTCTAACTAATATCGTTTCGTATTTGTTAAATAACGTTGATAATATTTGAATAACAGATCAGAAAAACCTTCATATAAAAATATTTGTTTAAGGTACACACCAATTTATTAGAAAATGCCTAAAGAAATTATCTTAAATCTTAAATACATGTATGTATGTATTTATGTATGTAACTATACCTGTAAATGTGTCAATAACATTGAGGACCTTTATAACATTTTTATTTAACAAATTTTATATTTATTACTATTGTTTTAATACTGTAATCGAAAACACAAATCATAAAATAAAGTAATTTGTCAAATAGATAGATAAAATATCAAAAATTCGTTCTGAATGCAACAAAAAGGTATTCAAGAAGATTACAAATATATTTAGATAAGAAATTTTAATGCAAAATCATATCAAGTAAGATATGTAGGCAACTCATTTATTTCATAAGAAATAATTGGGATTCGGTTAAATTTTCGGCTCAATCACAAAATGTTCGGCATAAATTTTATTTAAAACAATTGTGTTATATATTTTCATTGTAATCGAGAAAAATACAGTAATGGTCTGGTTTAAAATCGTTTTTGTGAACGAAAATTTACGATTTTAAACGAAATAATTTTCCAGTGAGGAAATGGTATATAAATAATTTTATGAGAGGCTTATATCGAATTTTTCTTCATATATATCTAGGTGGTTTTAATCGAGATTTTACTGTGTTTTGGAATATAAACAAAATTATTTCGAAATTAATCGAAATTGACAATTCTCAAATATTGAAAACATTACTTTGAATCTGAACTATGTTTAAAAAAAAAAAATACAATTTACCACAAGGCAGTAACAGTACTATCTAACTACTAACCCATACCACTAACTACTAACTCATCATATGAAGTTCAAATTACAATAATTATGGATATCAAAATTAATTAGCATCAGATTTGAGATTTAACTGACATTCGAACTAAAACAAGTGACATTGTTATTGTGATACGTTTGCTGCTAAATTTAGCTTAAAAATTTTACTTGAATTTTAATTCATTGCTTGAATCTTTATGGAGGCTAAGGAAAAACCAATGATTAAGGTATACAAAAGATCTATATTTTTTTTTGCTTTTTCGTTTTGTTATTGAAGCTAAATTGTCATACAGATTCGGATACGAGTAAGGGATAGAATTAAAAATTTTGTTTTATTAAATTAAGAGAGATTTTATTGGGAATTGAAATATTTTCGAAATTTAGGCATCGGAATTTTAAAAATACAATATTTAGATCTTTTATTACAAAATCTCGTATAATATCGTATAATAATGTCACTTATAATGCATTCCCGTACCGTGAATAGATGTTTTTATATTTATACACACGTTTTCTCTAAAATAAATACCATGCACAAGATCTTTCCAAATTTATTAATCTATAATTTTCTAATTATTAATTCATAATATATACATTAAATTATGACGTAATAAAACCAAAAATTTTACGATCAAAATACATACAGCCAATATATATAAATATAATAGCATTCCAAATCTATATTAAATATTCTAACACACCCACTTATAATTAAAAATTCAATTTTAATATATTTTCATATACTATATATATATATATGTATATATGTATATATATACACATATCCTAAAATTTAAGTAGGTACCTAACAAAAATATTTTGATTTTTGAAAACGTAAAAATCAAAAATAATAAAATTTATAAAACATGTGCTTTCCTTAGAAATCCTAATATAATATTTACAATTTGTTACCTTATTACCTTATTATTTACAACCTTATATCATATATGTATGTACGTATGCATATTAAATTATAATTGCATATTATATAGACCACATGTCGTATATAAAATATTAGCAAAAAACATAACCTATACACGTCAAAAATTATGGTATACTCACAAAAATAATATTGTATAACAAAATTTATGTGAAATTTTTATAGTAAAACAAAAACGTATTATTTTCATTATTTTTACTATTTACAAATATGTATATATGTATTTAAATTTTTATATATATACAGTAGAGGACGGGCAAATGTAACACTCTTAGGGACTTATAATTTGTGCATTTACATGTAATTTAAATTTACGGGTAAAATAAATATGTAATTGCATTTGCACATAAATTTTATTTGTAAATTATAAAAATTTGTGATTCACGTCATATTGTAGTATAAATATACACATATATAACACACACATACTATAGTATATATATGTAAATAAATATATCGTACGTATCATACAAAAATTGTTTACGCTCAGGCGAATTTTGTATTATCCCAGTTGCACTTAAACGTATTCTACTGTAAATATATTAAACAAATATTATAATAAAATATAACAAACAAAATCCTTTTTATATTTTAAATATAAACATATACATTACATATATCACAAATATAAAATATTCGATATATAAACGTAAAATGTGTTATATATAAATAAAATAGTAAAATTAAACAATAAGAACAACCAAAAACAAAAAAAAATAAAATTTTAATTAAAACTGAGAGTTTATATATTGACATTTTGTTGCTATTATGACGTCATTATATACATTATACCGCTAACTCCCCTCCTCTCTTTACGAAAATTATTTTCTTATATAAAAACAAAAACAATCATATGTAAACGAGTACAATACCACTACACACATTTAAAATTTCATATCTTTCTCTTATATATAAGAGAGGGAGAGAGAGAGAGAGAGAGTGATAAAGGTAAGCTTTCTCTTATTTATTTAAATGTATATATAATTAAGAGCTTTTCTTTCAAAAATAATAACAAGAACAAAAACAAAATCAAATTATGCTTTATTTTGTTTTTTCTTTGGTCCAGAATTGATTTTTACATACGTATAAAATGCATTTGATTTCTACACTTTCTTTCAATTCCCAAAAAGACATTGAATTATAAACACCATAATAAACGAGAATTTCGAGTTCGGACCGATGACAAGGATATAAAATTAAATAAGAAAAAAAAATATAATAAGGACGCGCGTATCAGTTTTTTTTTATTAATTTTTTATTATATTTGCTATATAACTACACGCATATATACACGTATATTATATTGTACTCGTGACTGTGTGCATATAATAATATTGTATACAATTAAAATCAACTAGTTGCACTTGAAAATTTGATGTTTTCTATTAATTTTGTTTGTTTGTTTGTTTGCTCATCATAATTTTTCTTTAAAGTAGAAAAGAATTAAAAAATTTTTAATAAAAAATTTTTAATTTTTAATTATTGAAATTTTAAAATAATTGAGTAACTTTTAAAGAAATAGAATTGTTATTAAATACAATAGAAAAAATTGTTAAAATAACAAAAAAAAAAAAATTAAAATTGTGTGATTTTAAAATTTAATATCAAAATTGTTGAAATAAATGTAAAATTTTTCAATTCAAATATTCGATTGTTAAAAAAAAAAATATTTTTTGAGGAATTGAAATTGGTGGAAGAAGAACAAGAAATTTAATTTGTCATTTTGACTATTTGTGCTTGCCTACTGCCCATTTTTTTTATTATACAACTATAACAGTACTGAAATTAAAATTTTTGTATCAATTAAATTTAATAATTGAAACTCAAATTAATTTTGTAAACAATTGTGTATTTCAAAAACAAAAATTTAATTTAAAAGAATTAAAAAAATTAAAGAAAAAAGTGAAAATTATTTAAAAAATTAATTAAATTAAATGTCGAGAATAAATTTTAATTATTAATTTTATTTTCCACATTATTTTTATCGTTTACTACATTCTACCTACATACTATATATGGGCTATATATTTTATTGTTTACTATAAACTCATATAATTATATAGCTACTATATATACTAAAAATTTTTAATATATACAACCATATATACTTTATATATATCGTGAATTTTTGTGCTAAATTTAATGTTTAACAATGCATTGTGCTAAAGCTCTATTATTGCTCTTCAATGTCATTTTCTGGGTAAGTTTTATATATATATTTTATATATATCACATATATATATATATATTTTATATATATATATCTTGTTATAAACATATATTTTATATTTTATTATAATAAGTTAATTGTTATTGTTTTTCTTTAAAAAAAAAATTTTTTTTTTTTTTTTGTAATTTTGTTATTTTTTAATTCTTTAATGGATTTTTCAATTCTTAAATTTTATTTATACTTGCATTTTAAACATTTTGGGATTTCAAAATATATGTACTTATATATATTATAAGTATAAGTATATAAAAATTGTATACTATATTATATTGTATAAATAAAATATATATAGAAAATTTGTAAAAAATTTAATATTGAAATTATGATATATATGAGAAATATATATATAAGAAATTCTTAGTGTATATATGCAATAAAAGAAATTGAGTAAGAAAAATTATGAAAATTGAATGAAATTTGTTATTAATTAAATTTTTATTTAATATAGAGAAGAATGAATAACGCTATTCCGTGCTATAACTGTGATATATATATATATATAACATATATATAACGAGGATTATATATGATATTTATATATATACTGAACTGTTGAACAAGGATATAACAAAAAGTATTCGATAAGGGAAGGGTCCAAAGTTATTAGTAATAGAAAATTTATTTATTGTTACTATTTCTGTTACTATTATGTTAAGGTTTTTAAATTTTAATATTAAAATATTTTGCATATATTAAGGGGTACTGTAGTATTATATTGCAAGTACGTTGTTGTAATTATATGAAGGGTTATAAAAATTTTAATTTAAATGATCGAAAAATTAAAATTGTTTTAATTACTTACATTATATTAATTTAATTTCCAACCGCAATTTTCATATGACATAATAATATCGTGTTCAATTATCATATACTGATAAAAATTATATTCCCCAAATATATTATAATTTATAGTACATACAAGTATGAACTATTGAGAATTAAAATTTATGTTAAATATATAAAGAACTATATAACAAAATCAACTTAAGTATAATTGCTACATCTCGCACCACAACATTATAATTCAGATTCTATACTTAGATCTTATATACAAGAAAAAAAATTTACAACTTGTCACCATAGGGAATCACTTTACATTTAGATCAGGAACAGGAAGTGTATGCATTTAAGATCCCGTAACATTTGTTCTCAAATAGAATCAGCAAATCTACTTAAGTCCCATAAAATATTTATATACCATGCATATCACAAATACACATACTTTCACTTTTTAAAACAAATTGTAATCTTTTCACATAAATTACTTACATTTTTTAAAATTCTAAAATTCTAAATATAATACAGGTTATGTTTTTTTCTGCTCATAAACCAAAAATTTGCATGAATTTATTCAAAAATATTTTCTTTAATTCATGTATAAATAAATCTTAAAAAAAAAAAGTGAAAAACTACAAAAATTTTAGAATTGAATTAGAAAAACTTTAAAAATTAAATTTTTTTTTTTTCTATGCAATACGAAAAAAAAATAAATTTATGTAAAAAAATTTATTTCTTTTAATGAGTTTAAAAGAAACCTGCATGTGAAAGAAAAACACTGGAAATACCATTTGACATACATTCATTTTTAAAAGTTCTATACCACAAATACATATACCGTAACATCCATTTTGCAAATAAAACATAAAAATATATCAATGTCACATGATCCAAGTTGCAAACCAAAAATTTTTTGATAATGCCATAATATGATTCAAGTTATAAGCTTACGTTTTGTAAATGCACTCAACTGCTAATCTGAACTGCCAAAGACAAGATGTCAAAGACTTCCACAATTTTATGCAAGTCAAGATGTCAAAGACTTCGATAATTTTATGCAAGTCAGCCTATATCGTTTATTTAATGTCAAAAACAACTTATGTGTCAATATAATTGATGACGTCTAACAAATGGTCACAATTATGTTCCAAACCGCAAATTGTGTGCAATATTTTTGCAAAGCAACAAGAATGTTTTAATGTACTACAAGCATTACTTGTTGGCGCTTCATTTGTCCAAACTCTGTGTCACGGATATTTACAACAACTTTGGTATATGAAAATGATTACCGAGTATATTCCTGAAAATGAATGAAATGAAGATGAAAACGATAATTCACATAAAATTCGAAATAAATGCTTCAAATCTCAGCCTATTTTGAAAAAAAAATTGAGTTACTCATATTTCCAAAAATGAGTAAATGAGCAAAATAACTTTGAGCGACTACGAGTATGAGCAAATGCGTAAGCAAACAAATTTCCTGTATGTAATGCGATCAAGTTGAATTCCAATAATATTACCCGTAGAGGGTTGCAAAATTCAGTTCACAATATTATTTTTCGTTCTTTTGAACAAGAGCACCAAATTTTCATACTAAATATTAAATACACAATATATTTATAATTTATACTCCGGAGAGTCAATGTTTATGAGTATATAATCAGAATTTTATGAGTGAAATTAAAAATTTAATCAAAATGAAATAAAACCGATTTAGTACACCAATATTAATTTTTTTTACTCATTTTTACTCACATGGGTAAAAAATATTTTTAAAATAAAATAAAATTGTGAATATAAAGGTAAAACCATGGTAAAGCAATTGGGAATTTATAAAAAAGAAAACAATAGAATTTTGGAATATTTATTCAAAAAAAAAGAAAAACAAAAACCCAAAAAATATTGTACAAGTACAGAATAACTTGGTCTGAAAAAATGAAATTTTAATTTAGAATAAAACAAAAAAAAATTTTATATACAAGAATAATTATTTTAAGATTAAGGCCATTTCTATGAATAATTTAAAATATTTTAAAATATTTAAATTTAAGCTTTTTTGAAAATGAATGAAAAATTTCGAAACTAAAAACCTACGTTTATGTAGACCACATCCTTAAAAAAGGATTTTTTTTTTTAAAATAATGTGTAAAATAATTTTTTTTTTTCTGTGGCAAAGAAACAAGCAAAGAAACAAAATTTTTGCTAAATAATTTTAGAAATCAAGAATGATGAGTTTTTTGTATTGAATTATTTACGATATTCGATTGCTCTAATTTCCCAACAAAATTAGAAACCAGTGGGTTGAGATCCACAAATCAATAGACTCTAATAGTACAACATTAATTAAAATTGCAAATTGAGTGAGCTTTAATAGAATTTGTGTAGGATGGGATTGGGCTGCATTTTTCTTTAAAAAAAAAAACTAAAAATCCTCCAGTTTTTTTTCCTAAAAGTCCTCGTTTAGGCTTGCATTCTAAAATTTTTTTTTGAAAATACAAATAAATTTTTGTTTATTGTAAAATTTTTTTATTTCTTTGAAAATAATAAACAAACAGGCGCACTCCACACAATTTATTTTTTTTTTGTAATTTGTTAAAGCAAAAATTCTATTTTCTTAAAGTGTGCAGAGGTAGATCCTTATAATATGTGAAGTATTTACTTAAAGTATATGTATGTGTAAAATGAAGAACCTTTTTATAACAAAGAACCATAAGATATATGTTCTGTTTATTGAAGTACCAATGTTATAAAACTTCCGTTTAAGTTATTAGTTTAAAGATCTTAATTCTGGAAAGTGGAAATTAAAAAAAAAACTAAAATGTGAGAGTAGGGGTTTGGAATTCATGTAAAAAATCGGCATTACGGGATGGCCGTTTCGTATTTATGGACTATCAAAATGAGTTTTAAAATCAGAAAGTAAATTTTGATCTTATATTGGCAACACTCATTCTAGACCGTTCAATTTACGTATATAAACCGCATACACAATACTAATTTAATTCATTTTTCAAATTTCGGTTTCTGAAAACTTGTGAGACTGATTTTCAACAACTGATTTTGAAAAAAAACCTCATAAAAAAAATTATTAATTCCCCGAAAACATTAAGAAAATTATGAATTTCATTGATTTACCGCGTGCGGTAGTATTAAATTTATAAATAAAGGCTTCCGCATGCGAAAAAACACTACTGAACGCGTTTCAGTAAACTAATTCTACTCTGTTATAAACCTGATTTGTGTATAAAGTTAATAATTAGCATTTATATCTTGGGCCAATTTTTTAGATCTTCCCGTTTTCGTTCAGCAGTAAATTTACAGTAGGGGACCCTAACAAAAAAACTTAAAATTTTATTCTGAGCAAAAATATACGAAGGTACATACACCCTTTGTTGAATCGGAATTTGTTTTTTCTTGTTATTACATCGGGAAAATATCGTTCTCTGCCCCCCCCCCCCTCTCCCTCCCACTACAGCACAGTCAATAGTGAAAATGTTCATACAAGTTCTTATTACAATTTTCCCCTTGCATATCATTCAAATATTCTAGGACAAAAACCATTCTAACAAATTATTTTTAAAAATTCACCCATAAAAAAAATTTGTTTTTTTTTACATTGTTAGTTGTCCCAACTTATCATCACCCATATGAATATTAATGTTTTTTTTGAAAACCAAAAAACAAAAAAAAAATAATCCTAAAATTTATTTCCTTTTTACCCCTCAACAAAACATACATAGTTCTTATCAATTTTCTACTACACAGTCATCATACATTTTTATTTATTACAATTATTTGTATATATACTATACACAACTAACCGCATTTTCAATTAATATCCTATCCTACATATAATATAACACCAATTATTACAATAAACTTGCACTTCTCCATCATATATCCGATATGATGAAAAAAATATAACAAAGTGTCTACTTAAACCAGTTTTTAACCTAAATACTAACATTTGTTTTTTTTCTCTCTATATATGAGTTACATACACAACACAATTTGTAAATTATGTTCAAACAAATTTACAACTTTTATTATTCATGCATATGTTCAAACATATTTTTTTAATAATACATGTTCTATAATAATAATTGCAACAAAAAGTGAAAGAAAACAAATAGAATGAGAAAACCTTATAATTTATTTAAGTTAAAAAAAAATAGAGTTCCCCCCCGCCACATCCT